TTTTTTTTTTTTCATTTTTTGAGACAGGGTCTCCCTATTAGCCCAGGCTGGTCTCAAACTCACAGTGATCCTCCTGCCTCAGCCTCCTGAGTGCTGGGATACATGCGTGTACCACCATGCCTGGCTAAAATTTTTTGATCTGTACCACTAGCACTGTACGGGGGCAGCAGGGCCGAGCGCCGGCGTTGGCTCCTTGGCTAGGACCGGCTTAAGTCTCAGTTCACTCCTCTCAGCGGCGTGGCCTTGGGCAGCTCACGTAACCCCCATGGCTCTCTCGTGCGCTCAAGGCTTCAACTCTTCAGCTGTGAAATGGGGATAACGATGCGCTCCCTCACGCACAGGTGTGTCAGATCTAACTTCACACGCAAGATCTGAGTCTTACATCATGAGCTCCGACCAATGGCAGATCCACGGAGAGATAAATACATGCTATTTGAAGGTCTCTGGACAAAATCGCTTTGGAGGTTTTTCATTACGGTTACAATTTATAGCACACTGCCAGAATGTCTGCCAGAAAGAACCAGCACCCCTCAGGCCTCGCATACATCATCGGGCAGGCGCACGCTGCGGCGCTTCCGGAGGGACCTGGGGCCGCGCCAAGTGTGATGGGCGTCCGTTGAGCGATATTTTGCTTTCAAATTGAAAGGGGGGCTCAGGGTGACCCATTCTCCTAGGAGACGACCCCGTCTCTCTCTCTGGATAAGCCCTTCATCTCTTTAGCTGTTAGTTTCTTTTACATGTCAGGACACTGTACCAGTGAGCCTCGTTTACATACACCCTCTACTTTCTTTTCCACATTTACAGGATTTCATTCTACTTTACAAAAGTTTGAAAAGATCCTGTTTTTTCAGTCTATCCATCTCATCACTGGGAACAGTTTTCAGAGCTCTACAGTCCAGGGCAAAGGAGAGCTTAACAGTATGCTGGAATGAACAGACAACAACTCCATCTTCTTTGAGATGTTTTACGCAAGAGGCAAGACAGGAAACAGGATGAACTTCTTTTGAGTAGTTGTCTCCCTGCGTTGTGGTTTGGCGGTCTCCCCAAGGCCCGTGCGCAGGGCGCACGACTGACTCGCAGTGCAGCGCTGGCAGCACGGGCCGCCCGCCCCGCGGTGGAGCCTGATAATATTAATGTAGTAATAATAATATTAATACGATGGGCACAAAGTTCTGCGTCTCTCGTTCTTGTGCTATCTTCCGTCCTCGTGAGCTGCGGCCCTCTGCCACGTGCCACCTGGACTCGCAGCCAGCTGAAGACGGACTGAAAGTGCGAGCTAGATAAACCTTTCATCCCTTAACTGGCATTTTATCTCAGCAACGAGAAAAGTCACTAAGACGCCCTGAACCGACCGTGGCACATGCTGACTTACACCCCCACGTATTGTCTGTGTTTCGCTTCTCCTGGGGCTTCCAGGATGGCGCGGATGTCTGGTCTCCTGCTCACATCCTCTGCCCGACACGGTGCTGACAGCGGTGCCTCCGTCCTGTGCAGAGGTGCTCAGTTTACCACGTGTGCTACACGGAGGGAAACGGGACACACGCAGTAACCAGCGCCTAGAAAACTAGACGCAGCGGCGCAGCTTGCGGCGTTTCCCTCCAGGAAACGGGCAAGAATCCCTTCCTGAAAGCCTGCTTGCACTGCGCTCCTGTGCCCAGGCCCTGCTCCACTCAGGCCGAATCTTAAGGGTGTTCAGCCCCTCACCTCCGCTATGCAGAGCGTATAGGTCCTGGCCAACGGTGACGAGGCGATCAGGCTGAAGGTCTGCAGAGGCCGAGCGCTCACTGAAGGCGGGCCACTCTGCCCCGAGGCCTCCAGCATGTAATTCCACAGGGCTGCATTTCAAGTGGCCTGTGGCATCCTGAAGGGTAAGTCCCGTTCAGCACTGTAACAGCCAGGCCACGCTCTCTCAGCCTCGCTTGTAAGCGTGGCCCAGGCGGTGCATCTGTGTGACACTTCTAAGAGTGAGTAGTCTGCTGCCGCTGACTGGAACGTGATTTTGGCATAGCCTAAATTGTTTAACAATGTCTGTCTTCATTGGCCACTTTCAAGGAAAGCTTCTAAACTTTAGGCAATTATACTAAAAGAAGAGGGGAAAGCGAAGAGCAATTTAAAAAGTCACTTTATATGTAACTAGGTTTCTTTCTGACCGTTCACCCGTGCTTCATCTTTGCAAAGTAATTCCAAATGAAGCCTGCTCTGTGCAAGTGTTGTTGGTTCATCTACTTACTGACATTTAAAAAAATCTTAGGAAAAAAAGATGAGAAAATTAGAGGAATTAAATTATATAGTGTTTTAAAACATAGCATGAAAATCTTACTCTCAGTATTAATGGCCATTTCATCGATGCAAAAAATTACTAAATATAAGACATATAATATTCCTGATGATGCCATTTCTTTTAAAAAAGGTTAATTGGGTAAACTCTTAAAACAGAGGAGCTGTAAAGCATAGCTCAAGACTAGATCATTCACTACCTGTTTTCCTAAATAAAGTTTTATTGGGACGCAGCCCGGCCCATTTGTTTATGTACCGTGTGAATACGTTGGTGTTAACTAGTCGAGGTGCCGACTGCAAGTTCCTAGAGCAGTGGCGGCGAACCTGTGGCCGCGTGCTGCAGTGGGCACGCACAGCCCTCTCTGCCACACACAGGCCCAGTCACCCCAGAGCCGAGCATCGGGTAACAGGTGTCCTTTCTAAGCTAAAACCTTAGTATTCAGGTTTAATTGCAGAGTTGGCACGCTGTGACAGTTAGGTAGGTTTTGGGTTGCAGCTGAGGCCCTCGGTCTCTAGCAGGTTCAAGTCGACGATGAGGCAGCCCCACTGCCTGCAGTGAGCGCGGCACGTGACAGCCCAAGGGGCGCAGCTGCCAGCAGCCCCATGTCCGGGACACTGCCTCCAGTGACCTGAGGCATCTTGCTAGGCCCTGCCTTTGACACACCACCCGGGACCGTGCTTTTCCAGTGGCCCTTTGGGAACACGCATCCCGACCGCAGCACCAACAGGGCACTGATTCAAGATCCCACATGTGTGGCCAGGCTACGCATTCTGTAAAACGGAAAGAATAAAGTGCAGGTTCCTGTAGCTTCTCTAGCGCCGAAAATGATCGCCTGTATTGTACAATACTTGTAATGTATTATGAACTTGTAAAATTATAAGGGGAATGGGGCGGTAACAGTGGAAAGAGCTCGCCTAGCATGCACAAGCCCTGGGCCCAATCCCAGCACCGAACCAAACCAAACCACTCGAGAATTTTTAAACTGCATTTAACTCACTCCAATTGCTGTTTCAGTTGTAGTCCATGGGTTCAATATACAAATTTAAAGTTCTTTTGTGGTTTATATTATTTACTGGCTAACTTCCAAAGGAATCCTGTCCTAACAATCTTAGAATTCTGGGTATGCATTTTAATATATTACAAATTCAGAAAGTCTGGACCGTGGCAGCAGAGAGGCTAGTGGGGAGAGCTGTTTTAAAATTCTGGTCAAGAAAAACAAACAACTCTGGTAAAGGATTATGACCTGATGGGCAATTAGGCTAAAACCTCTTGCGTTACACAACAGCTGCTGCAGTAAAAACCAAGGGCTGGAACTCTCAGGAAGCTGTTAACGTTCCCATAGTCTCAGCAGCAGGAAATGAGCCAAGGAGATGGCAGAAAGGGAAGCAACTGAGCAGCCAAGCCTGAGTACAGTGCTGCGGTCCCTTGGGGGACAAGAGGGAACACTTGGCCCTACAGCTGTTCTGATGAGCTACCTCGAATGAAATCCACTGGTTAGCTGAAGAGCAAAGGAACGTGGCACCCAAAATTACCTGGAGAAGGCTCGGTATTGCTTGACTTCTTCCAGCAGATGCAGTTTATAACTCCTGTGCTGTCATCCACTGCAAGAGAAGCGGCAAAGGTCGCTGGTGAGCTCACACACTACCGTTCCTTCAGCCACACCAAGAAATGGTTTTTTCTTTTTTTTTAACATTTAGTGTGTGTGTGTGTGTGTGTGTGTGTGTGTGTGTATGTGTGGCCAGCTCAGCCCACCAGGGGGCGGGGCTGGCTGGCATGTGGTGCTGGGGGATTGAACTGTGGTCCCTGTGCTTTAGCTAAGCTTGTTCTAAGTAGATGCTTTAGACCACTGAGCCATCTCTCCAGCCCCGAAACGGTTTTCAATAATTTAGATGAGGAAAACCCAGTTCAAAGTTCCCCATCTTTTTAAAAGTGATTTTAAAACATTTAAATTTTTCTTGGTACATGTTGGGATAGTGATCACATTCATTGTGGGGAACTGGCACATGTACATAACACATCTCACTTCTTTCTACTTCTACTCCACAGCCCCTCCTGCTATCAGGACAAGTCACTGTTTAGGTCTTATAAAATTAAACACACACACACACACACACACACACACACACAGACTAGGCCAAAGAAGCACAGAACACTAAGATTCTCATACTAAATTGAGATACACTTTTGGATTCTTTGTCCATGGTGGATGATAACCATTTCTTTTCTCTCTCACTCTTTCGCCCTCTCTGTTTCTACTCTGTCTTTCATTTACATTTTGTTTATACACTGAGCTTCTCACACAAGACAAGCCATGTAACATCTTTGTTTGCTGTTTTGAGTTACGTGGCAATTTATTGAGCCGCTCCCTGCCCTGTGGTCTCCAGGCCACTTTTTCCCTTTGGACAGCTTGTCTGCCAGGGCCAGGAAGACGGCTAGGGGGCGTGAGCCAGCGTACTGTGGATGAGGCTCACAAGGTGGCCGTGGCTGTCTTCCTCACACCGCGAGAACACAGCCGGCAGATCCAGCTCCTCGTACGGCGCCTTCATGCTGGCTACCTTTGGTGTCCTTCTGCCCATAATTCTCCTGCAAGATCTGGCTGAGCTCTGGAGTAGCTGCATTTGCAGTTCTGGATGTCGGTGCCAATCTTTCCTGTCACAGTGGAGTCCCCAAAGAGGTCAAGGAAATCATCCCGGGCCTAGACGAACCTGCCCGTCGCCATCAGGACCCTCCTGGTGCTGCTGTGCTCCTTCTCCGTGTCAGAGCCAGCCACAGCCGTGGCAGCAGCAGCAGCAGGCAGGCAGGCAGCAGTAGAAAGCTGCCTTGTACCTGACCCCAGATCTGTACCTCTTTTCAGGGTATTTGCTGAGACCCGCATGGTCCTGGGAAGCCGTGATGACTCCCAGTCTGCCCGACCCTGTCTGATAGGCAGTCTGCAGGAAGAGCTCAAGCAGGTGCAGGCGGCAGGGCTGCTCCTGGCAGTGGGACTTCAGCGGGTGGCAGATACAGGCTTCCAGAAGGAGAGCATCACTGACAGCATCCAAACCTATGCCCCGTTTCCGACACCAGCAGACCTGTCCCCTCCGTGTAAAGAATGAATCCATGATGTCATCTGTCACCAGGAAGAAAGTTTGCAGCAGTTCCACACACCAGCCCGCGGTCAGTGCCCGCTGTAGACTGCATCCGGTTTCCTGGACTCTACCAGCTCCCGGAATGCTGCCTGTGCCGTCAAACCCTAGCTGCTGTACTTGCCTCCGATGGCACTGTGCTCTAGGGCCTCCTCGAACCGGGCAATGACGTCCCCTACTTCTGGATGCCCTGGGCCATCTTCAGCCAGCACCCGGACAATCTGAGACGAGTTGGATGATGTGTTTCTGGAGCATAAGCATCGCACTTCTGCTCCCCATCCGTCCTGATGAGAGCAAAGCGCTCTGTTCTGGGTGCCGGTCCTGCGTGGCCAGTGTTTTAAGTTGTTATGTGCGGCTTACTGCACTGAATAGCATGGTCTCTAGGGGTATCTTTTCCTCACATGATTCAAATTTACTTTTCCTTAGAAAGAGTTCTCCGCTGTACATAGCATATTTTCTGTATCTATTCGTCTGCAGATGGACTTAGAGTCCAAGACTTAGCTATCACAAATTCTGTCACTACAAATGTGGCTGTGCATGCAAAAGCTTTCCATCTGTAAAGAACCGATCTCTCACCCCACACCAGAATGGCCTGCGTGCACATGGGAGTGGCACGCACGAGCCCTGTGGGAAGGCCCAGTGCCTCCCTCACCCGATTATGAGCGGACTAGTGATCTGCATGTACACCCCGCTGCTAAGACAGGGAGCCTCAGGAAGTTATGCGTGAAGAGCTGATGACCGCCCACCACAAAGCCTTTCTCTCCCACCCTGAAACTGGGCAGCATCACGCGGTCTGTGATGGTCTATGACGGGCACCAGCACGGGCGCCACGGCTTCTGTCACTGCTTCTCTCGCACTCGCCCCTGGCATCTCAACTCGAAGGGTCTTACTTTTGTGGCCCGGGCTTCTCTCTGCAAAGGCTTTCTACCCAGTACTTAGCCCTGCAGGGGACCCAAAGGGAGCCAAGCACGTTGCAGCAGGGCACTGTTTTATTTTCATAATAGAAAATAATTATATCCTGCCTGCAAAAACAGTATTGGTTCAGCTTGTTTGATTCCTAGTACAAAACAAGCCACAGAATTCCCACGGTACCTGTAGAAGAGCTTGGAGATGTTCTCTTTGCCTAATTTCTGAGAGACTCAGAACCAAGCTTACTAAGCACGAGGCAGGCGAGCCTCATAATCGGAATAAAAACATCAAGTAGACTGTTGTAAAATCACATGTAATGTAAAAGAAATATAAGGCAAAAATACTTTACTGCTGGCTTGTCATGTTGAAAACGTCAAGATACTTCTTATAGTAAAATAAATTCTAGATGTTTCACTATATTAAATATATAAACTTAAAGAAAACATGGGTGAATACTTCAGGTTTTTGGTTGGTGGGAGAGATTTTAAGCAGAACCGAGAAATGAGAACTAATTTTTTAAAAAGTCTGACATGCTTGCTGATCTAAAAACTAATAATAGGTAGCAATTTTCTAAATGATAAGGTTAGTGTCTTAATATATTCAGAGCTCATATCATTTACTAAGAAAAAGGCCAAAGCGTAACAGTGGCAAAGGAAAAGAATACACAAATAATGGCAGATACGAGCATGACTAATAAACACATCGGTGTGCTACACTCACCACTTACCACAGGAGAAAGGTCAACTTAAACAACTTCTCAATTGTTAGATACTGATACTCATGTGCTGATAATGGAAGTATAAACTAGAACTAAATTTCTAAAGAGCAAATTTGAAAACATGCATTAAATTTTGAAACACGTACACCCTTTGGCTAAACAACTACTTCCAATACATTATTCTGAGGAGATAAACAGAATATGCAGACACGGGCATCTCCTATAAGGCTATTCCACGCACTGTTGTTTAGAATACTTAGATGTTAATAAATACGGAATTGATTAAATAAGTTACAATAACAGTACGTAAGAATAAAGTGTTACAACAGAGATCTATACCCACTGCTGTTAAAAGATATAGGTGCTTTACTATAAAACAGAAATCTTACATATATCTTAGGAGTCTTACATGTAATTTATGTAAGACAAATGTTATATTATAACACAAAATGATTTTAAAACATTGGGGGCTAATAGTATCTTTTAGAGCATGGAGAAGGAATGAAAGCACATTCAATGTAAGCAATGACTATAATAATTTCAAGACATAAAAGAGGACAATAGCACTGAGGACATAGGGACTTCTATATTTCTTAAATATTACACTACAAATATCAGCAACATTCACCCAAACTCTGACCAATTCACGGCATTGCACATGACATGTATACCATTAACATTTTCTCCGGTTTTAAATAGTCACTTAGGATGTTTGGGTTTCAAGAAGAAGGTATGATCTATCTAGTATACCACTTCTCCGGCTAGTTAAAAGTCTTGATTTATGATGAGGGAAAAATGAGTAGCTGAACATCTGTCCTGGGAGGCACGAGGTCGTCCTCCCTGACCCGAGGCTCCTGGGTTGCACCTGAGCTGGTGCTCGGTCTACACCGGGGGCAGTGCCACCAAACTCCCACTCCCCTGGTTTGTAACACCTCGCAGTAGCCTTGCACCATGGTCCCGAGGCCCCTGCCTCCGTGGTTGGGTGGCGCTGTGGGACCAGGATGCGTGAGTGTGGGCAGATGCACGCTCGGCTCAGGCCTGTGGCGAAATGGGCAGCGAGGTGGGGCTGCGGGGAAGGCGGCCTGAGACCCAAGCTGGGCCGAGGACAGCCAGGTGAGGGTCAGTCACAGGAACCTTCCGCTCTCCCTCACATCCACACCGGAAGGAAAGGCCTCTTGGAAGAGTCGGGCACACGGCCCTCATCTTCCCGGGGCGGGAAAAGAGGGCGTAAGTGATGGTCCATGAGGTCACAGGCTAATTTTGGTCTGGCTCGAAAAACCGAACACCGAGACCCAGATCCAGCTGACCCGGGGTGGGGCCTGGATGCGAGGCGGGTGGAAGGAGGGAAACGCCTGGGTTCCGTGTAGGCCAAGGAGAACGTGGACGCCCAGGCCCGCGGCCCTGTGCCGCTGGAATCCTAAGCCCACGAGGTGCGACCCTTAGCTGTGTGCGCTACAAAATGTAAATCACTTTCTGTCCTTTCTACTTCAAAGGATCAGGGGGAGAATAAGGCGGGCCATGACTGTGCAAGGCGCCGCTGTCTCTCCCCAGGGCCTGGAGGAAGGACACTGCCTGCAGCCGGGCAGCCCACACCGCCGCCACGGGGTAAATAGCCCAGCCCCTTCGGTCCAATAAAGCCGAGAGGAGAGTCAGTAAGCAGATGCCTGACAACAAAGTGATCTACTCCAGATTACGCACTGAGAAGAAGCGGGAGGCACGCAAGAGCTCCACTCGCACATGTTGTTATTTTATAAGCGCCAGACAGTCATCGTCGGGAAAATGAACAAATGTTGACGAAATGCAATGAAGTGTCCCTATAATTCTCCATGGTGCATAGGTGCCAAGGGAATGTTCTGCTCACCAAGTCCAGCGCTTCTGCCTCCCTCCAAGGAGAATAATACCAGTCCAAGCCAGAGTCACAAAAGCGACGCTGCCCATTGTGGCCCGGAACTCAAGGTGAGCTTCCTACCTAAGGCCTGACTTGGCCTCCTAACTAGAGAACCTTGAAGTCGCACAAGGCAATATATTAAAATGCTTAGGCTAAGCTCAGAGCAATCAAGAACCACTGCGGGAAAATCACATTCTAACATTTTTTTTAAAAATGTATTTTAGTACAGGGTCTACAGGGTCTCACCACATAGATCAGACTGTGCTGATGTGCCTGTTTTCAGCCTCCCAAGAGCTGGGTGGCACACACCACCACACCCAGTTTCAACTACCTTCTGCGTGCCCTGGGGCATGGCTAGCACGGCTTGTGGTGCCAGGGATGGAACCTGGCCCCTGCACTCCGCCTAAGCTGGTGCTTTAGTCCACTGAGCTATCTGGCCAGCCCTTCTAACAATTTTCCAGTACCCAAAATATAGTACCCTTTATAGTGTCCATCATCCTATGGGAAGGGGACTTTTCGGATAAGGGATACTTACCCCTCTGAATACCAAAGGCTTTTAAAGAAACCATTCCGGATATCATTTAGTCTTCAGCCCTTGGTGTCTGCACAGTCTACCTGACCTGAACCTGGCCCTTTCTTTGGCATGGTATCACCGTAATCATACACTATCGCCCTTGCTATTTATAGCCACGCTCCCGGGTATCGGGTGTCCCCTCCCCATCAGTCCAGTCCCAGGCGCTGCATTTCCCTCTCCCACCTCCTGAGTCCCCAGCCTCGGGCACATCGCGGGCACTTCGACCTCTTGTCTTGTTTTGCGCTCAGCCCACTGGGGCGCTCTGCGAGTCTCCCGACAGAGGGTGCGCCTCGCGAGGAGCCCCAGCGGCTCCGAGAGGCTGGGTACACTTAAAATCTAACCGTGATGGGGCTCCACTGGCACAACCGGTTGGCACACGGTGCTTATACTAACCCTAACCTTGAGCCTTCCCCTTGGGCCCCAACACAATCCCAGGTGCCTTTGCTCTTACCTCCGTAACTGCAGAAAGCATCTTTTTCTTTCACTCCAACAACAGTTCCCAGGATATCCACCTGTTTTATTGGATGCCCATTGTAGAAAAAGACACCTAAAATTTTTCAAAAAGCAAAGTTGTAGATGATTAATTTTCTGCTTCATTAAATGTCTTGGGGGGGTGCAGCGGATATAAGCGGAGGCAGGATGCTGGCTGAAATCCCAGTCTTAAGAGCCCCTTGACAAATGGCCCGTTCCAGGAAATCCAGAGGTCTCTTCCTCAAGGGTCAGAGGCAAAAAGCCTGGTTTTTCAGTAAGTTTTTACTAGTGCAGAAAAGGGAAAACTAGCATTGTCCAGCTAGATTTGGTGAACTGAAGGTTCTCTACATGAGAAGGTAAACTATGCCCGAGAAGACAGGCCCGAAAACAGCCACCACCTGATGGGAGGACACAGGACAGGAAAGACAGAGGACACCGTGGGAATGACTTCTTGCACTTTCTTTTTAACCAGTGCTTTTCTAAAAAACAGGACACTGGGGCCGGGGAGACGGCTCAGTGGAACAAGCGCTTCCCTGGCAAGGGCAAGGGCCTGAGTTCAATCCCCGGTTCTGCAATAAATAACAGGACACTGTTTCTATCAGTTGGTGAGAGCCTCCCCCCCATTTTTTCTTTTTGTAAAGAAATAAAAAAGATAATTCATAGATTGCAAAATGCTGACAGATTACAAGTCAAAAACTTTTTAAAACTTTTCAACTGGCCGAAATGGGGTACATCTGTAATCCTAGCACTTGAGAGGCTAAGGCAGGAGGCCTGGCAAGAGTTCAAGGTCAACCTGGGCTATGGAGTGATTTCAAGGCCAGCCTGAACTACATAGTAAGACCCTGTCACAAAACAAACAAAACCTACCAACCAAAAACCCCTCTATTTTTATTTTTATTTTAAATATTTATTTTT